ATTATTATTATTATTATTATTATTATTATTATTATTAAAGATACAAATATGTAGTCGTCCATGTATCTTTTCCGAAGATTGTCAGTAATAGCATCCTCGGTAATTTTCGGGAGCAAAATCATATCATCCACTCCAGAAACTTTAACATTTTGACTCTGCCAATGATACATCTGAAACAGAATATAACTTTTTGCATTGGACATTTGTTACAAAATTTTGTATATTTTATTTATATCACAGTAAGTACATCCTCGAATCAGAGTAAATGATTTTGTAAGATAAATTATACAATTAATGTATATTACATTAATTATATAATTGACGTATATATTTTTGGAAGATCGTCCAAATCGTTCGAGAGCTCGCATCGAATTGCTCTTTCAGGCTATCGTTTTTTGTCATAAGGCTGCAACCTTATCTCTTCTAAGAAGCAATCTTTGTTTATGCCTCTCCTACAGGATGCGGCAGAATGGAGTCCCACATTTCCAAGGTGAATTATGAAAAAAACGGTATAAAATACGGAAAAAAAAGTTTTATTTTCTGAAAGCGCATATAATGCAGTTTTTTTTCTTTGAGGTTTTAAAAATAATGTCCAAATGATGGCCTTGAAGGACGATGCACATATGCAGGTGTTCCTGAAAGGTTTCCATTACTCGCTTCAACATATCTTGAGCAATTCCGGCGATTTCCTCTTTAATGGTCTCCTTGAGATCTTCTAGGATTCAAGGACAATGTTCATAAACCTCAGCCTTGAGATACCTCACAGGAAAAAGTCGCAGGGGCTCAGATCTGGGGAGGATAAGCTGTGGCTGCATCCTGTTGGAACCAGAAGTTATTTGGTTCTTGTTCCTCTTCATATTCTTCCATTTTTGGCGTGTCGCCACCTTTTTCAAAAACTATAGTCCAATTAACTGAATCTCCATACAACGGAGATTATTCTAAATGGTCTTCTCTGCGCCGCTGTGATGTTTGGAAAATTCGGGGATTTGATCGTTCAGAAAAGTTTACATCTAGCGTATAAAAAAACAGAAAATGGTATAAAAATTAGATAAGGGTGACAGCCTTATTCCCGACCAGCTGCTATTTGCCGGAGACGAATGTTTATTCTGAATTAGACCAACGGTATGAAAGCGGCATGAACAGACACACAATGTCCTTTTGTTTTATAAAAAGAAGAATATTATGCTTGTTCTTTTAAAAGAATCGCTATTGCGACGATTTGCCGTATATTGCTCATCTGCATCAGACGTTAACTGCTAGTTGTTTGTTCTTATATTACATGTAATAGATATTCATAAAATTAAAAAAATCTACCTTCTAAACAGATGAATTCTTAAAGTCAAAGTTTTATATCTTTGGAGTTTTTTCATTTTCACAACACCAAAATAAATAAATATATGGTGGTCAATCGCCAATGACCAATCAATTTTAAGAAGTAATTTAGTTAGTTAAAAATTAATTTTGAAAAACAATGAAGTATAAATGATTTAATGATATTTAATATATGTATTAACATTAAAACACGGATAGATATCTTTTTGATACATACATGGATACATAATATAAAATGGAATAGTTTTAAATACTAATTTCTTGTATTGGAATCTGAAGATATACAATTGACAACACTGCAATGGATATCATTTTACTTAACCAACTTGTTCAGTTTGTTTGATATAATTCTCCATTTCACTGTTGTTTAAGTACTCTGCGCTAAAAAATTAATGATTTTTTTCTTGGTCGGTATTTCAGACCCTGAGATCCAAAGTTCCATTTAATGTCTAGTCTATCTTATCCTTAGTCAATGCTATCATGTTGGAATAATCCATAAAGATAACCCATACAGATAATTAATAAAAAATATTATTGGTGACACCGAAATCTACTGAAGTGTATGTTCTTGATTACACCATCATAAATTTAAAAAATCATTTGATATCGAAGAAGTTCACTCTTTATGAAGTATAAAATATATTTTTATAAATATCTCGCCAATAACATATAGAAAAAAGTTGTTCAAAGTGATGATTTTGACAATATATTTTGAGATTATTAAAGTCGGTGAAGTTGGCTCCATTCTGAATAATTTATGAATTTAGACACGCGAATTTATACTAATAATAATTTATCACAGTATTTTATTATCACAGTATTTAAAATATTTGTGCTGTTAGGTTATCATTGTTTTCTCAAAGTCAATATTACTGTAACGAGTATAATTAACACGTTGACTGTTATGGTTTTTCTCAGTGAGGTTATGATATTCACAAATTAGTAAAACGTAATTAGTAATATTTAAGAATAGACTGAATTCACTAATTACTAATGTCATTTCACTCATAATCTTTTTTTTTTCTTTTTTGATCACTCGAATTTTCAAAACAGCAATCCAGATAAGCGTTCATACATGATTCTAGGTTATTCTTACATGTGATATTATAAATATGTTTGCATATATCTTCAAAACTCGAGAAACTTCAAAAATCGAGATACATATGTAAGATAAAATTATTCAGGATACTAATTCTGGCAACTATTGTATGTATTAAACTGATTGAAATTGTATTAAAATGATGAATGTACTGAACTGATGAAATGACCTATTAATTGCCGATTTTCTTTCTTTCAAATGAATATTAAAAATATCTTTAATAAAAATATTTTTTGAAAGAATAAATTCTACTAACTACATTATATAGTATGATGAGAATGAACATATATGTAGTTCATTATAGTTCATCACAAGAACATGACCATTATGGTTCATACTATACTGGTCATGGTTTATACCAGTGACAATGAAAAATCATCGATAATTTAAACTGATATAACTTCGTAAAAAAAGATCAAATAACCAACCATTTAATCTCATTTTAAAGCAAAAAACCTCTATTTTGACAATCATAAGCTCGTTTTCTTCGAAGATAATTTTACATCATGCAGTGGGTGAGAGTACTTTTTTTTGATGATTGAAAATTGTAAAAACACGTGTGAAATCATTAAAAAAAACTTTTTTCATGAAACTAAATTTATTATGGTTTTGAGGAAAATTTTTTCTTTGCAACGATTCCTTAAAACATACTGCATGATTTTTTTCACCATTTTATTGAAGTTCACCATTTTATTGAACATTACGATTAGATAACAAAATGTTAGAATTTTTTGATTTCTTTTTATCATGTAATGATAAATTTTCTATTTAATTAATTTAAATTTAACTAGTAATAATGAACTCAATAATATTCAATGTTCGAAAACATTTTTTTAATGTTTTTACACGTATTTTAATTTTTATAATTTTCAATTTTACATCACTACATGATGTAAAATCATCTTCAAAAGAAAACGAATTCAGGATTGTTAAAGTCACGTTTGATGAAAATGAAACTAAATGGATCATTAGCGATCCTTTTTTACAAAGTTATATCAGTTTAAATTATCGACAATTTTTCATTGTCAATAGTACAATTATTCCGTTCACTGTACTTATGTGCTTGTACAGCAAAGTATCGTTAACAGTGATAATAATTTCTTTCAAGGCTCTCTTCGTTCTCATCCGATCTATTGAGTTCAAGATTACGAACTATATCATACTGATTCTTCAAGAAGGTAAAATGATTTAGCAGCATTTTAATTGTTTAACATTTCATGCAAAATTAAAATATATACGTATGTATATTTATACATATTAATATAAAATTATTAATTATTTAACTTTAATGAGAATATTAAAAATTTTAATAAATTTTCATGATACTAAAAACGATTTTTTTCTAATAAAAAACGAAAAGAAATTTAAATGTGTTAGAAAACTCAAACAATTTAGTCATGACTATAAAGCTATTGAACTTTCTTGGTTTATTTAAATTATTGATATTGTTTGCTTATTTTCTAAAATATTCTCTTTTTTTTTTTCTTTCTCTATTATTTTAATTTTTGTTTCAGTATCCCTATTTCTTCTATCAAGATTTTTCTGACTTTTATTAGTTCTTTATTGTTTTTGATTATTTTTCCTCTTTTAATTGCATTTCTTTGCCTATTTTTCTTATTATTTTTTCTTGTATTTCCTAATTTAGTCACATAATTCTCTATCATCTTTTTTCATAATTCTCATTTTTTTTCATATTACAATCTTGTATTTTTTTCTCTTTTTTTCCCTTAATGGCAAGTATTATATTATATATTCTGCTTTTCTCAAAGGGATTTTTTGTAGTGCTATTGACATGCTTGTTTATTGGTTAAGATGTTCTTGCATCTAATCTTCATATCCTTTCTGAATTCGTTAACCTTTTTCGCATTGTTTACTTTGTGTCCATTTTTTTTCTTTTGTTTATTTTTTTTTCATAATGTGTTTTTGATTTTCTACTTTCTCTTTCTAAATTTATTTTTTCTAATCCTTGTTCCCGTTTCTGCCCTCATTCTTATCAGCAATGCTCTAACCTCTTTACCATTTGAATAATGTATTCATTTAAACACTAAACATTAAATTTATATACAATGAATAATGTATAAATCCATTTTAAACCTTGTTTTTCTTATTTTTGTTTTCTTTTCTTACTTTTCTTTCAAATTGAAACTTAATTTAATATAATGTAATTTAATAATTAATTTTCAGTCATAAGTTGGGAAACTTCAAACTTTCTATTTCCTTCATTTAAGAATATATTATCAAATTACAACATATTTTATTCAGAATTTTTTATATTGTTTGTTTTAAATTTTATTATTATACATGTTTGCATTTTACAAACGTACATGCATATATATACATATAATGCATACATATAATTAACAATACATAGTTA